GCAACAACGGTTGGAATGACCGTCATCAGCCACGGTAGCAAGACGCAAGCTATCGTATCTTTGTCGTCTACGGAGGCAGAGTACATTGCTGCCGGGGAGGGTGTGAAGGAAGCTTTGTTTGTGCGTGCAGTGCTTTCGTTTATTGCCCCAGAGACCAGTGGCAGCAGCATTCAGGTCCTTGAGGACAATCAGGGGGCTATGGCTTTGGTGCAGAACCCCCTCAGCTCAGCGCGTAGCAAGCACATCGACGTGAGGTACCACTTCATTCGTGGATTGTTCAGGTCGGGGGACATCTCGATCAAGTTTGTGTCGACGTCGGAGCAGCATGCCGACATGCTTACCAAGGCTCTTAGCAAGAGCTAGTCTGCAGTACCACCGGCGCAAGTTGATGAATTGCCGGAGTAGCTAGCAGTTTTTAGCACTTGGGAGCGGCCATGTTTACCCATGCGGGAAAGTCGCATTACTGTCGCGGTCTGTGTACCCATGGCAGGAGTAGGGGGCGTTGGGAGGCCATCGTCCGGGGGAACGTAGTTCCTTGCGATCTTGTCTTCGCCTTGGTCTTTCTGATAAGTGCGNAGTAGGGGGCGTTGGGAGACCATCGTCCGGGGGAACGTAGTTCCTTGAGATCTTGTCTTCGCCTTGGCCTTTCTGATAAGTGCGGCCGTTGTGCATCCGCCGTGATAGCAATGGTTTTAGTGTTGGATAGGGTTTTCTTTGGAGGGGTTTTGTCCGGGGGCCGGGTTTCCCCTCCTATCACCGTATGGTTTTTTATTGATGTATCCGGGATGTTTTTGCCCCACTGATGGTTAGTCACTCGCGTGAAGAACCAGGGAAGGTGTTCGTGGGTCTACGGACATGGTGGATACATTACCCGTACGTACAAGTGTGACGCAGATGGTGTAGAACCTTTTAGGTAGGGGTACGGTGATGATGCACCGGGACCCCCTTTGTTGAGTGCAGCAGCCGTGCTGCTACTCTCTCCCTCTGTCTCCTCCTCCTTTCCGAGCACGACAGCGTCCTGGGTACGGGCGTTGTCTCACCGTTTGAAGTTAATACACTACACAAACAAGTCCCGATAAGTACGCGGAGTACGGCCGACAAACAACGTTCTCACCATAGGTTGTCACAGGCAATTGGGATACGCTACGAGGAGAGGGAGAGCGCCGTTCGGCGGCGCACGATCCGGTTTACGATCCGGACGCCGCACAATAGTGGGAGAGCTTGTTCTGGACTGTGGGGCGCGCCAATAAGCTACAAGTGCGTGTCGTTGTTACTATCTTTGCCGGGGTGCGTTCTGTCCACAATGCCGGGTCAATAGCCTTCGGCAAGGCGGTGTGGAAACATCTACGAGACCTTGCACCCCGTGCTACGCGGACGAAACTAAGTCTTCATCGTCAAATGAACTGATGATCGCATTGTGTGACTGAGGACAGTCGTGGCGAAACGAAGACGCAGCAACAATCATGCGGCTTGTGGACGAACACCTGTACAGCCGCGAATCCGGAACCTATTCCACTGTACCATCCAACCCAAATAGGCCACCATGGTATCGAGTGAAAGCAATACATGGGAGACGTACAGCAAACGCGTCTGACAATGAGGACATGCAAAGTATTGCCTGGAGGGGCTTCATCGATCACACAAAGACGAAGAAGACCTCATATTCTCCGTCGTCATCGTCCACCCCCGAATTGATGGAGACTCCCGCCGCTGATGATCGCGTTTCGCAGAAGGTCGGAGCAAGGTAGAAGTCAGGGAGGGAACGATGCCAGAGTGTGAGAGCCATCAAACACCCTGCATGTGGTGAAGCATGGAGGCTTGCTGCTTCAACTTACATACCAGGACACAATACTGCTGTCGACGACAAAGCAGCAAACAACGGATGAATGTAAAATATAATCTTCTTCCTCCGGGTGGGTGCCGGGTCCTTCTTCAGGCCACCCGTTGTATGAGACGAGCGCCAAAGTTCAAGGAGGGACTGCTTACAGTAGTACGGCGGCCAATTCAACCAGTTCCAGGGGGTTGACATGGTGCTCGTTCCTCTACTGCATGCTTCTTGTCGAAGACACATCGCCACAGGCGATGAAAATGAAAAAATCAAGATATGCTAGACCAGCGGTGCGTACCCAAGATCAACTACATCTCGGAATTCAAGACTCTGTCACAAGAGCCATCTTTCGAGCAACGTGCGCTATTGCGAACGAAACACAAGGGCTGGGGCGTCATTCTCTCTCCCAGCGAGCAAGGCAAGCGTATGAAGCTGTGCGGCCCCGCATTGAGTGGCAGGGGAACACCTGAGGCCCTTACCTGGACTCGAATGACATCAAGTTTTCTGGCAGGCGATGAGGCCACGATACAACACAACCAGGGAGACTCCCTGGGACCACGGAGTAGTCTAGTATTCGACCGCACATCGGCCTCCAGACGCCAAACCTTGATAACAATAAATACTTTTAGCATGGGACCGGAGAACACATATCGAGGGGTGGTCACGGGCGAAAGACGACAACCTGCTGATGAGAATTGGGTCGTGCAGTCGTGGGAGGGGGGCGGAGGCGACGAAAGTGGGTCCAGTTTTCTCTACGTTCCCCTCCGCAACTTCGGAATATTTGACCAAGACCAAACCCACGTTACGTCTGCATGATTCACATCTTGGCAACGTGCGGGAACACGGTAACGAAATCGGAATAAGGGGATGTTTCTCGGCCATAGATACCTCCTTGTGGGCCATGCTGGATCATCCCGTACACCTCATGACCGCCCTGTAAACGCTCACCTAACGAATCCAATGGTCCGGCGACACCGAACCGGGCGGCGATGAGCAAGGCGACCAGCTCCCAGCAAGATGCCATGACCTGCAACAGTGTTAGGCCCAAAGGGGGCAATCCACAAGAGCCGCGCGCACAAATGGAAAAAAGGCACGTTCCTTGCAGCAAGTCGTGCCCAACTTGGGTGGTGGACACAGCTGTCTTCATTTCTCCTTCCTCGGGTGTGGTTTGCTCGCCGCTTTGTTGCTGATCCCACGTCGGTTGGCGGCAACCTGTTCTCGGTTTGGAGTTGATTGTGTTTGTCCGGCTTCGAGAGCGAAGGTGTCTCACAAGCATGAGGTCCGTATCAACCCCAACGTTACGCAAATGATGCACGGAAAACTCCGTTTTATTCGTGACGTTTCGAGCGATTCCCTTTTTGCAACCCGCCTTCCCCACAAATCCCTGCCTTCTATGGACGTTGCGAATGAGAGTGCCCGTGAGAGATATTTTTCCTTTGTGGCATCGGCTCTTACAGCCTCGATGGATTCCGATCTAGAACCCCCCCGTGTGACGGATGCTGTAGCGGATTACTCGGCGAAGATGATTGATGTGTGGGAGAGTGAAGAGTGTGAACGCGCCATGGCT